TGAGATAAATGAGTTACCCTCTCTTAAGGAGTCTTAAGTGAGACAATAATGCTCATGAAAAACACATCTAATTAAGTTAATGTCTAATCAGTGACATCTAATGTCACTGTGAAAATGTCTTCAGTCTCTAAAAGGATCAGACAAAGACTGGAGTGTTTTGTTGAAACTCAGTGAAACTGGACATACAAGTCAATTCCATAGTCATGAAAATATACTTTGTCTCCATAATATAAACTTTGTATATTATTTTCACTGAGAGCACTGTCCAAAATTACAAAAAATATATTGAACAGCAATTTGTCATTATTCATGGGAAAAGGGTGACCAGATGATAGTGTAATTTCTGATACCACGAGGGTCTAGTGACTCTATCTAGGGGAGATATGCATTCTCCACCTAAAAGGTCTGAACCAAGGCCCATTATACTCATTGTACTCATTGTGAGTCTTTCAGTGACCTCAGTGGGCTTTGGATCAGGCCCCCAAATGTCTTCTACTCTTTGTTGTAGTTCCCTTCTGAACACCTGAAACCTCCCACCATTGTAATCATTTAAAAATTTCAGGAAGCATTTCTTTGTTGAAGAAAAAATCATATCTTTACTTCATTAATGACATGCATTGTACTAGGTATACCTGTCAGCATGTCATACTTTATCTATTACTATTTCTATTATGGTTGTGCCTAAAGCTCCCAATGAAAATCAGAGCTCCTTTGTGCTAGGCACTATATAAATCTATAGTAAGAGACAGTTCAAAGAGCTTTTGTTGATAGAAACTCATAGTACAGATTTTGGCAATGTCGTGTAAAGTACAACCCAAATAAATCTTGACACTTATTGTCCATGATAGTTAAATTTACTGTGATGTTTATGTCGGCCCAATGCTAATTATAGGGAATACTACAAATCCCCCATACAGCAAAAACTTACCCAAATAACTTTCCATGTGAGAGGAGTCCCATTGAACTCTACTGCAGTATGGTAAACAATACAGTGCAGAACATATCAAGAATTAAATGGCACCTGATATATATTCAGTGAGATGGGGGGGAAGAGAAAGCAAAATGGATGTTATTGTACATGTATTTTTGAACTGTGTGTACATGCTCTAGGGATGAAGACATATTCACAACAAATTGAAATACTTAATATTTTTTGCATTTCATTGAGTATTGGAAATTGGTCCTGTTTTCATGATATTTTTATGCTAAAATGGGACCATTTTCAAGTGCAATAGTTTTCACTCAGGAAGCATGCAAAATGTCATGGGTTTGGATGTTTTCTTACAATTATATTACAGTTTTTGTGACGGTTTTGAGATGGTTGGGTAGATGTGAACACAGATATAACAAAATCATAAAATAAATCCTGCTTTTCCACATGGCTGTATTAGCCAAACTATGTACTACATGGCGTGCGCATCTGGGGGGAATATATGTATAGTTACAACACAACATAGTAGTAGTATGGGAAAAAGCTATAGGGTTGCAAACGAGATACTATCATTTTGCAAATACTACTACTTTGATGAGCAACGAATTGTATTGTTAGCCCTTTTGGGTGCTCTTGTACTGTTTAGTCAGACTCTTTGCTCAGATGCCTGACAAGGGAGGGCAGGAGCAGGTCTTTAATCATGAATGCGGCCAGTTACCCAAATAGAAAATCACAAACAGAGGTCTCAGGGCCAACTGCGTGACTAGAAGCTCTTAAACTATTACAAAATCAATGAGAGTAACAATCAATTGCGTTTGTTAGGTCAGATATGAAACAATGTGTCTTGCTTGGAATCTGAAACTTCCATTTAAACTTGAGATATACTAGCTTTTAAAACACTTATGATTTGTAGCCGACAGCAAGTATTTCAGAAATATCCACTTCTTCTCCAGGGTGCTTGGTTTTATGTAGCCTAAAAAAATAGCTTTTCTTCAAAATGAGTTTTATGGTGTTACATCCTGTTATGTGGGAATTTGCTGTTTAATCCTTTGAAATGTAACTCACTGGAACACAAATGTTTTTTAAAAAAAGGAAGGAGAAGAAAAAGCAAGCTGTGAGGAGAGTAAAATATGACAATAAGCAATTTATTTCCTACCTTCAGATTGCAGGCACACTAAATCTGCTAGTTAACTGCTTAGATTCAGACTGGCACATTTCTTCTTTTAACCACATTTCTCCTACTTTGCTCTCACTCCTCATAAGCCTCTGCAAAATTATGTTCTAAGTCTCTCTTCCCATGATATCTTCATTGCTGCTTCATTAACCAGTGCTCCATCAGACCATTTCATTACAGCCTCTCTCCTTGCTCACTGCGTTGATGCTAAGACACAGATACAAACCACCTATCAAATGCTAGGTGGTATTTATCCTTCCTGCCATTCAAAAGATGGAAAAATCATCCAAGGGATAAATCCTAAATAAAGAGCACATTCTATTTATTTCTTCTCTTGGGCTCTGTCCCCACCCCAACTTGAAAGGCATTGGTGCTATTCTGCTAATACTCTGACTGACTTAATTTTTTTTTAAAAAAGGCTGTCATCATACCTGTCATCATCCCTTCAAGATGTTCAGTATTCCATGTGGCATGTCTGGGAGGGGGCGCAACTACCCTAGAAAGAGAAATCTGGTCAGCAACACAGTTCAGTTCCACGTTCATAAGGATATGGAAATATCTTTGTTATATTCGCTGCCTTTCTTTACAAATATCTCTAGATTGCACCAGCAGGAAGGCGTCATGCTATACGTGTTATCTTGTTTCCACTGAGTTTCAGGGAGTAGGGATATGTCCAGTTCATTTTGATAAAGGGAGGAGGCATTTATAAAAGCAAACAGGATAATGGGATGGCTCCTAAAACACCCATATGATGAAATTACCAGCCAGGGCTGCTGTGATGCTCATTGTAGCCAGGCAAAGGAGTTAAGAGCAGTCACAGTCCACTTACAAACCAAGATTGGTCAGCTTACCCTTCAAAAAGTATGACAATGTGTACTTTATTTTTAAAGCTAGAATGGAAAAATGAACATGGCTAGCTTAGGTCTTTTTGCTCTGGTGCTGACAGATGTGAAAAATTGGCCCTGACATTTTTAGATTCCTCAGGATTTCAGGGCAAGGATTTCATGATTTTATAAAACTTTGATCTGTATTTTTGGACTGTTCATTTCACTTAGATAGTCTCACTTTTGTAATCTTCACTTTAGGAGTCAAACACTCACTTGGATTTCTGTGTTGTGTAATTCACTTGTGAATTATGGCTTGGGCTGCACGGTGGTACAGGGATATCAGGCACCCCCTCTGCAGAGCCATTGCATCCACTTTGCATATAGGTGGGGGGGGTCTTGGGCAGAGCCTTGGCTTCGCTCCTTCTCAATGTGTTGGGTGGCACAGCTATACCACTGCCTTTGGGAGCATATGTTAACCAGCACAGCATACTCCTTCTCTGTAGAAGCAGGGGGACCAGGAGGGAAATGTGACAGCTCAAGTCAGTCCAGGGATAACACAGCAATGTGCTGCCTGACATTAATGCAGGGCTCGTGGAAAAGCCGTGATCAAGCCCTTTATTATTCTCTATTATTTAAATTGTAGTATAGCCTAGAAGCCCCAATTAGTCATAGAGTTTTAAGGCCCGAAGGGACCACCAGATAATCTAGTCTGACCTCCTGTCTATCACAGGCCACCACCACCACCCAGCACCCACACACTAAACCCAACAACCGAAATTAGACCAAAGTGTTACAGCCCACAAGAGACTAGACAGTTATGTGCAACATGCAGAGAATAGAAGGGACCAAGGCACCCCAGTGCTTGAGGTCCTGCAATGGCAGGGAAATGATTAAGTGAGGTTTACCCACATAATCCTGGCAAGTGACCCGCACCCACACACTGGAGAAAAGGCAACTCCCCGCCCCCAAGTCATTGCCAATATGACATTCCTTCCTGACCCCATATAGGCGATCAGTTAGACCATGTGCATGCGAACAAGAACTAGCCAGCCAAGCCCCTGAGAGAGAGAATGCTCAGTGCCACCTCAGAGCACTGGCCCTCACTGTCCAATGTCCCATCTCCAGCCGTGGCCATCCCTGATGCTTCAGAGGAAGGTGATAAAAAAAGGCTCAGAACAAATGTATGGGGGGAATCCTTTCTTAACCCCTGAAGGTAGATGGCTGAAAACCTGAAGTGTGAGCTTTAGGAACATAAGATATAAATCAGAAGTGAGCCCCAGGGTCCCAGCCCATCACCAGCATCAGGATCAGAGACCCCGAATGTGCTAGGTACTGTATAAACGCATAAGGATTATTCAGACAAGGGGAATTTGCAGTGGAAGAACTGCATTTATTCAGGTGCAGACTTCTAATGCACATTGACATGGGGGGAGGTTGCAGCAGCATAGATACATTGTTATTACTCCTTCAGTGTGAAAACCACCCCAGTAAAGTGAGAGCCATGGCATGGTAAGAGACAGTCTCCTCCTTAAAGAGTATATAAATTCAATTCAAGCCAAGGCACAACCAGTGAATGTGACAAACCAAAGGGAAAAGTGGGGGAGGGAGGGAGCATGTGGGTATTGAAAATAAGATCACATGCTTACACACACTTGCTACTGCACATGCTCGCTATTGCACAACTTGGTTGTGATGGTTCAACAACATCTTAAATTTTTTTTTTAAATCAGAAAAATCAGCTATCCCAAACTGGCACACAAAAACAACCATTGGTTGTTGGACTGCTTGCTGACTTCACATTAGAAGTAGGTTTTGAGCTGGGATTTCTAGGGGCTTTATCAGAAGGGCATTGTATGTGTTAAAGAGAAATAGATTATGACTCCTTGGAAAGACAACACAAATTATCTTTCTGTTCTGTTTTACTTTGAGTATAGAGTATATACTTCAGTTTATCTTTAAAATTAATTTTAACTCTGTTTAATTCTGAACTCCAAGCTCTTTGGCCTCAGGTGGGAACAATGGGTTTTGTAGATACCTATCTCAATCTGATCTTTTTTTTCCCCCCCAGGTCACATGTGCAAATTTAACAAATGGCGGCAAATCAGAACTTCTAAAATCAGGCAGCTCCAAATCCACACTAAAGCACATATGGACAGAAAGCAGCAAAGACTTGTCCATCAGCCGACTGCTATCACAGACTTTTCATGGCAAAGAAAATGATACAGATTTGGACCTGCGATATGATGCCCCAGAAACTTATTCTGAGCAAGATCTCTGGGATTGGCTGAGGAACTCCACAGATCTTCAAGAGCCTCGACCCAGAGCAAAGAGACGGCCCATTGTCAAGACTGGGAAATTTAAGAAAATGTTTGGCTGGGGCGACTTTCATTCCAACATCAAAACTGTGAAGTTAAACCTTTTAATAACTGGGAAAATTGTTGATCATGGCAATGGGACGTTTAGCGTTTATTTCAGGCACAATTCCACTGGCCAAGGGAATGTATCTGTGAGCCTGGTGCCCCCAACCAAAATAGTGGAATTTGACTTGGCACAACAAACAGTGATTGATGCCAAAGATTCCAAGTCCTTTAACTGTCGCATCGAATATGAAAAGGTTGACAAGGCCACCAAGAACACACTCTGCAACTATGACCCTTCAAAAACATGTTATCAGGAGCAGACCCAAAGTCATGTGTCATGGCTCTGCTCCAAGCCCTTTAAAGTAATCTGTATTTACATTTCCTTTTATAGTACAGATTATAAACTAGTACAGAAGGTGTGTCCTGATTACAACTACCACAGTGACACGCCCTACTTCCCTTCAGGTTGAGAATGAACAACATGTGTCTGAGACTGAAGCCTGAGGAATAAAAGAGGTCATATGACAGGGCTGTTACCTCAAAGAAGAAGGCCACCCCATTGCCTGGAATGTGTCTACACTCTGCTGCTGTTGCTGTCAAATGGCTGCAAATATGTTAGCGGAAAACAATCTAATGTAATTTCTGCCCAGTCAGCTCCATGTATCAGTCTAGTTGTAAATCACTATGGATTCGAAATAAAACCACACAGACACTCACTCTTTTCAGCTCACACCTATTAAGATTCCTGTTAAGAGGGCTGTCTTTGTCTGATACATATTGTTTCAGGATAACCTATCATCAAGCCAAAAGGATTAACTAGACAGAGAATGGTTTCTAACACAAACTGTTATGGAAATCTCCTTGAAAGTCTTGAATACATGCCAATCAATAATCCCCACTCATGCATTCTACTGCTTAGACTAGCTGTACTGGTAAATAATACTATAGGAGTAAATGCTTGTTAAAATGGGGAAAAAATGTGTGTCTAGAGTTCAGTATTTCTTATTATATGAACACAGCAAAGCATAGTGACTTTTTTTCCAGCATACAGTAGGCACATTCAAGGTGGCGTTAGGTGGCTCTTTTTCTGTGGAGGGAGCCTATTACTAGTAAAGATGAGCAGACATTTGGAATTTACATGTGGGCAGACATTATGGTTTCATATTTCTTCACTGAACATTTAAATTGGCAGAGTTGAGACCAGCTGAGCTACTTAAAAACTCTCCAACTGTTCTGCAAGAAGGAAAATGCCTGATAGACAACATGTAAGTTATAAGTGGCTGTCTTATCTTTATTACAAATATTGTAACAAATTCAATATCCTAGTCTTCATTTGTATGAATGGTTTGTATTGTACATAGTTTAACCAGTGTTATTTGAGCTGCTTATTAATATTAACTTGTAATTGTCTCTCTGCTTGTTATTGGTTAAAAACAATCAAGGAAATGAGGAATTCATTTTATCAATGTAGCTGTAAACTCCATTAAAAAGACAGAATTATGTACAAAGCATTTATTCAGCTAAAGTATTGTTGAGAGCTATACATATACAACATTACGGTCTGTCTGTATTTAGATATTTTATTTCCAGACAAAAAATGAACTGTACATAAAAATAAAATACTTAAAGTTGAGTTTCAATATGTACTGTGTAGATGGTGGTTTAAATGGTCCAACAAGAAGACTATGCTCAAACTCCATCATGGTTTTCAATCTTGCGTCTTCAAATTTGTGCAGAATTATCCCAAGTTATAGCAAGCAGGCAGATCTCAATGCCGTCATAGGGCCTTGTTGACTTCAGTGGGAGTCATCCCTCAAAGAACAATTTGCAGGAGCAGGTCCTAAATTATTATTAGTCATAAATGAAAGCAACTTACCAATTTAAAAGTGGGAAAAGTTGTTCTCTCTGTGTGTGCACAAGTCTGCCTTTGTCTTAATTATAACCTAGTGTAGACACAGACCTCCTTGTATGTAGTGGAAGAGTTTTATTCCTCTAATAGGAAAGCAATTGATTGTACATCATTTTTGTGCATAGTGGCACACTTTGTCCCCAGCTTCCAGCTATCCAACCACAATAACTTCACTGGTATGTTTATACCTAATTGAAGGCTGTATTGAAAGGATCTCAGATTCCCTTTCATTTCTCTTAGGATTACCATTTGTGCCCACCCACACATGAATTTTATCCTTCGCTCCTAGATGGCTGCCAAAGCTGTGCTGAGAAAAGTCTATGCAGGAAACAAAGAGAAGCCTTTCCAAAGCCCAGACATGCACTTCTCTAATGCTCCGGAGATTCAAAGGTCCAAGAAGTGAGAAATCAGAGACCACTTCCAATCCCATGTTGAATTGCCTGGGACTTAAATCAAGATCCTAGATGAATCTTTTGTCACCTTAACCCTCTTACTAAAGAATAGTATGAAAATGAAACAAATGAATAAAACTAATGACAAATGTTTATACCATTGACTATAAGTGAAGGAGAGGCTTCCACAGTATCAAGTCTTTAACTCCTTGGAAACAATATGCTAATGGAAATTATTTCTTCATCATACGAGAGGACAATCTTATTACCCTGGATCTGCGAACTCTGCACAGTTTTGGAGAAAGAGATGGTCCAAGCCATAAAGTTCAGATTCTGATCCACATTTCCACAATGTCCGGGAATACGCAGAGCCAGGATTTTGCTTCTGCTTCACCTCTGCTAGTAATTGTGAATCGACTGCTAGTGATTCATGATTTGTGTTGTGTGAAAAGTATCTGTTCTGCATATTAAAATATTTAAAGTTGAAGTAGTCCACACTAAGGACGGGCTCCATGTTGAAGTCAACAGAGCCAGGATTTCACCTTAGGAGTATGTAAAATACCAGTATTAAACATTATTAGTAACCATTATAATGATTAATAAGCATTTACACAGGGCATGAGTCTCCAGTGACCTGCACTTTTTGTAGTCATTTATATTTGTGCAAAGTGGGTTTAAAATGTTATCACTGGTAGTAATGTATATCAGTTTTGTATGTCCACTCAGTGGTCACCATTTTCAGTTTTTTCCTACCCTTTAAAAAAAACAAAACTTTCTAACTTATGCAATATATACATGGTTGCTTACTATATACCAACAGCACAACCACTACCAATATAAAAACATGCCAACCAATGGATAGTGAGTGAGTCAACTTCTTCTAACATTGGAAGCTTTATACTTTTTGCTGCTTCTGTCACTCTCATTAATACTATTTTCCTTAACTGTTTTCTTTTGAATTGACTACTGTTTTTCATGAACTTACTTGACTTTGGACTTGGAATAGTCCTTTTAGTTGATCTGGATGTGAATTAGTGATGTGAGTATGAATTATAACACAGTGCATTGCTGAGATACCTAGTTTCTTCACAAGAATCTCTTAGCAAAATATTGCATGTGAGGTAAACTTGCTGAAACATGGTTTTAGTTTTCCCATGTGAAAATTGAATCTAATGAATGTAAATACATAGTGCCCTGGCTCTGTTAGACAATGTACTTCTGAGTAACTGGGTCTGTGAGTCAGCAGTGCTTAATTAGACCAGGCAACTTTGGATCACAAATCTCTGGCATAAGAAAGATTTTGGGTGTCGCACATTTTCTTTCTAAATATACATATTTTGGAACTGAAAGGGGTGATGTTTGGTTTTTAAAAGCCAGGCTATTGAGTATTTTCTTTGTTTGCTTCTTCTTCTGTTTTAATGTTTCAAAATTGTCTCCTGCTTTTTATCATTATTTTACTATGTATGGAAGGGATTGTTTGATAATGGGGTATGGGACTCCAAAATACTTGCTACTGACCAACCATTATTACAAAGTGACTAAAATGGCACAAGAATGTATGGTATGAGTCACAGTATGTATCCTCATATGAATAAAAAATCCAAGATGGTGAGGTATTGATTGCACTAGATCAGATGGTAACATAGTCAGCTAAGAGCTGACTGGTTCAATGCTAAGACAATAGTGGCATTAGTAACACTGGAATGAAGAAAGGAACTCTGAAGACAGGAAACAGGGATATACAGAAACAGGGCTGGCTTTACTTTCCAGTGCTGGATCACAGTGCTAAACTTTTAAGGAAAATGGGAGCATCTTCAGTTTATGTAATGACAGTGAATATTTTAAAAATCTATGTCAGAGGCAGAATATCCTTCTTCATCTCTCCTTGTAGAGGCTTCACTTGTACTGTTGTAATATAGCCTGGCCCCCTCCCAACCGTCACTGATCATGAAAAGCAGCTCTTTGAACTTTACCTTTGTTTGCTTAAAATGTGTGACGTTCCAAACCAGTGGAATTCAATGGGAACTCCTTATAATGAACTGAGAAATAACAAAAATTCCATTCATGGTAGAGTGGAATGGAAGTCTCAGATTGTTTCAGTTCATACCACTATGCAGATATATAAATATTTGTTCATAGAGATGTTTTATAAAAAAAGTCTTCACTCTAAGAAGGTTATACTGTAATTCAATGGGAGGATCCTCATGTATTCTCATTCAGAATTCTATACTCTAATTTGGAATTCTCTAGGTAAGCCAAATTGCTATGAAAACAACCTGTTACATGACTGTGTAGGTAAACATGCATTGCAATGAATCCTTGTTTCTGACTTGGACAGCCACTAGAAATGGACAACCTCCTTCTGCTCCCTTTAACATTTTGACTGAAGGACAGTGCTTGCCTGATAATATTGAATTGCAACTTCAGCACTACATGTGACATCCATGCCTTTCTGGATCATACTAAACAGATCCTAAAACTTGAAAGGAATGTTCCATCCCTAGTGAACTGTATTTGATTCTGTATTTAACATTAACATGGATTTTAGGTCAAAAGAGATGCAGAGGAAAAGTTTCTATAGTTCATTAATATGATCATGTCAAAACATGGAGGCGTCAAGGAGCCAAGATTCCCACTGACTTTAATGGGTATTGGATTGGGACCCCAAAACTATTGTATGTAAATAAGACAAATTGAGTGAATTTATGTATTAAATATTACACAATGTGTAAAAATCCTATCCCCACTCTTTTCTCAGATCAGTCCTTGAAAAGAGCGCAAATAGTGAACATTAAAATTATCAAGCCATTCAGTCTACCTTTTCTAAATAGACCATAGATGATCCATATGTTATTTTCATGACACATATGTATCCTGAACCTCCTTAAAAAGTTGCCATTTCATAGAATCATAGAACTGGAAAGGACCTCGAGAGGTCATCTAGTCTAGTCCCCTGCACTTGTGGCAGGACTAAGTATTATCTAGACCAGGGGTCAGCAACATTTGGCATGCGGCTCGCCAGGGTAAGCACCCTGGC